GGTGGGTTTTTGGTTCTTTGCTGTATATGTACCAGACCTTTTTCTCCAAGGAACTCAGGTGGCATGCAGGGTTCTGACTCACCTCATTTAATCCCCAAAACATCCCAATGGGATAGGTTAGGCACAGAGGCATGAGTTGCGTGTTTTTTAAGTCTTCTGTGTGTAATCAACCCACTTATGAGACCATTTCATGCACTTGAAAAATGGGTTCTGGTTCACAAAATCTTCTGCCACAGGCAAGGTCTTTGGACCCATGTAATCGCACACTCCTCCTGATTGGCTGGCACAAAGTTTGTGCGGAGGTTGTACACTGCCACTGTTTGCTAAGCTTTCATTCTCATTTGTGCTGAGATGATGTGGACAGAGCCACCCTCCTCACAGCGACACTGCTTGCCTGGATGGATAACGGCAAGGTCAGGGCAGTGGGGGGGGGGGATGATGGGACAGCGGATTGGCCGATGGTGGTCCTTTCAGTGCAGCCGCACAGCCACAGCCTTACCTGCTCCAGCCCCATTCAGGTAAGCAGCAGTGAAGCAGGGCAGTTCCACGATTCTGCTCCACTACATACATTGCTACTTAATAATAATAATAATAATAATAATAATAATAATAATAATAATTTATTATTTATACCCCGCCCATCTGGCTGAGTTTCCCCAGACACTCTGGGCGGCTTCCAATCAAGTGTTAAAAACAATACAGCATTAAATATTAAAAACTTCCCTAAACAGGGCTGCCTTCAGATGTCTTTTAAAGAGAAGATAGCTGCTTATTTCCTTCACATCTGAAGGGAGGGCGTTCCACAGGGCAGGCGCCACTACCGAGAAGGCCCTCTGTCTGGTTCCCTGTAACCTCGCAATGAGGGGACCACCAGAAGGCCCTAGGCGCTGGATCTCAGTGTCCGGGCTGAACGATGGGAGTGGAGATGCTCCTTCAGGTATACAGGACCGAGGCCGTTTAGGGCTTTAAAGGTCAGCACTGACAGCAGCATTACATGCCACTTTCCAGTGCATTTTCTTGCACTTTTCTTATCACATTTTTTTTAAGTGTGTTTGTTACATGGGAGCACCAAATCCCCTTCAACTGTGCAACCTCAGTTTGCTTGTGTATGATCATATCTCTCATGGATCTAGATATGGATCACATCTAGAAAACAGTGTCAGTTGGGAAGCAACTACTGCATGACTGTTATTTTGACCTATGTCCACTGGTTGGACCTGATGGCAGCTGTAGTCAAAAGCAGTCAGTGGGCAACAGCTCTTAATAACATCTCTCCATGCTACCAAATCTCCTTTTGTTTACTTGCATACTTTCTACTGGGCGTTTGTACATTTCCAAATCATGCTTTTCCCCTGTGATAATGTTATGATGTATTTCCCTTTCTTCCCTAAAGGAGAAGGGCAATAAAATATCTAGGCTATTGAATTGAACAGAACAGAAATATATAGAAAAATATATATATTGAAAGAGCAAGTGAAGCGGAAATTTAAAGCCCCTCTGCTGGGAAAAACAGTATAAATAACCGAAGACATCTTGTAAACAGTGCGGTCATAACCTTGAAACATTAAACAGCTCTCTGGGATCTGGCGCATCAGCTGCCTCTGGACTGAGCTTGTTCAGGGGAAAGAGACCAGCACTTTCTGTTTATCTCTCGGCTTAATCTCCCACCGAGTAACAAATCAATTCAATTCAATAGAAAGAAAGTTGTTTAAGTTAAGAAGCCAGAAGGCACCATACAGCTGGGCCAAGCAGAGGTATACCCCCTCCCCCAAATGCAAATCACTCTACTCCATCAGTACTCCTTAATTCTCCTTAGGTGCAGCCCCTGGCTCCACCACCTCGAAATGTGATCATGTCTCTCCAGGGGCTTCCCAGTGGTATCTTTGAATCAGGCTTTTACCACTCATGGGCAATGTTTCCTTCGAGCCATATCGCAAAGGGATTAGCACCAAACCTGTTTAGATAGTCAAGGCTCATATGAAGTAAAACAAAGATGAGAATTCATTTGAGAATATACCACAGCAGGGGCACCCAAACTGTGGTTCATGCATTTCCAGCAGTCCACCAGCAAGATTAATATGGTCCGTGGAGTGTCCGTATTAAATATTTTGTATTGGTTTTTAATCGTATTTTTACTGCGTCTTTTAATGTATTCCATAGAATTTGGGCTGTAATAAAATGAAATGAAATATAAAAAACGAAAGTAAAAATATAATTGAAAAGCATACAGCAACCAGCACCACTCATTGCAACTGCTAAAACAAACAGAAGAAAAAGCATTAAGGAAATGCATGAGGACTCCCAGCAATTTCCAAGTGGCTCAGTGGCAAAGGATTTTGGGAACCACTGTACTACAGAATGCTATGTGTTCACTTGAGAGCAATTACATTTTTTCTCCAATGGATTAGGAATGGAGGATGTCAAGTTACACGAAGTTGAAAGAGATCCGAGCCAGCAAACCTCTTAAGAAATTAAGCATCACTAATATTTTATACTGAGATTATCACTGACTCATCAAGGTACATCTGTGCATATAACAAGGCTTCAGTGATTCAATCATCAAGCACTGAACAACATTGTTTAAGTACCTTCTGCAATGCATAGAAGGCGCAGATTTGGTATGTGTTTTGGGGGGACAGCCTGATTCTGACAACACCTTTGCCCCCAAGCTGTGATGCGATGTCTCTTAGTTAATTCTGGTCATCCGTCTGGCAGACAACAAAATGAGACACACCTCTGATAGAAACCAAGCATATGGGACGCTCTGTACCAACTTCAGTAAGCCTAGGATTGGAATAAGGAGGATGAAGAGTGGCAGCCAGTCAGGATTGTGTTAGTGCTTGCTAGGAAATATGTGTTAATGTAGATGCACGACCCATTCAACTCGATCCACATCAGGTGGATAACAGAGAAAGCATCCCAGCAAGTTTTCATCAGATTTATTAAAATTCCGTCTCTTTCCTGAGCTTTAAAGAACATCTCACCCAGGTAGGTCTTACAACACTTCCTCAAGGTGCTAAAGCTTGAACTTGGAGGATTCAAGGTTTGGGAGTGGGGAGATTAAGGGTTTTGTGGGTTTTGTTGTGGTTTTTTTTGCATTTTTATCCCACCTTTTTCTCTTGAGTTGGAGTACATGGATCTCCCTCATTTAGTCCTCACAACAACCTTGTGAAGCTAGGCTGAGAAGCAGAAACTGGCTTTATTGACTGCATCCCCCGGAGTCTCACTGCGCCCCCATTGTTTCTGGATAGTTGGGGGATCCTTCATAAAATATTTAGGGGTAAAGGTAAAGGGACCCCTGAGGGGTCCAGTCATCTCACTTTATTGGCCAAGGGAGCCGGTGTACAGCTTTCGGGTCATGTGGCCAGCATGACTAAGCCGCTTCTGGTGAACCAGAGCAGCGCACGGAAATGCCATTTACCTATTTATCTACTTGCACTTTGACTTGCTTTCGAACTGCTAGGTTGGCAGGAGCAGGGACTGAGCAACAGGAGCTCACCCCATTGCGGGGATTCGAACCGCCGACCTTCTGACCGGCAAGTCCTAGGCTCTGTGGTTTAACCCACAGCGCCACCTGCGTCAGCTTAATTTGATACCCCCTATAATTTGGTTTCCCAAAAAGTAACCTATTCTACATAAAGGAAGGTCCACAGCTGAACGAGGATGTTAAAATGTAAACTCATAACTTTTCTCCACGTTGCACCCAGATCCTAAACATGTTATGTGTATGTGCCATTGAAAGTGGAGTACATTTTCAAATAAAATGGCCTAAGAGCAATCCCACTGAAAGCAGACAAAGCCAGCAACCTAATTCTAGACACACATTGGGCATCAAATCCCTTTGAAACCACAGAACATATTTCCCAATAGGAAACAACTTTTTTAATCCTGCAAGCACCTTGCTTCCAGACAACTCCATTGAAAGCAGTTCTCTTCCACTTTCAGTCGTTGCTTTGGCAACATTCAAAAGGGACACACTCTACACTAAAAGACATACCGTAGTTTGCATCTTTAGTAAAAGTGCTCCCTATAGTGTCTTCAGTACACGCACAATTTAAAACTGTGTTTCCCACATCCATTTCCATATTAGCCATGTTTGCAAATGATAAATCCTAGTCTTAGGCTATAATCTTATATATATTTACCCATTGAATTTACTTACTTATGCACAGGAGTCTATTAAAGTTGTTAATAGTGAAAATGTTTCAGAATCTAGTTCCTCCACCTCGATCAATTACTGGATTGAGCTAACCTCACAAAACATCTGATTCCACAACTAATGCAACAATGCCTTCACTTCCCTATCAAAACTCTCATTACATTTTGGAGGTGTGTGTGTGTGTGCTTTCTACAAGTTTGGCAGCCCCTGTGCTCTGTTTTTCTAGCCCTCCAAACCACCCACCCCGCAAGGACACAGTCTAGCTCTTCTTAATTATAAAAATAAACATTTTGCAATCTAGGGTCAAACAATTTTGCTTTGTGATGCATCACGCCATTTAAAGGTTTGCAGATGAACTGATAATATGGTCCTGTTCAGCAATTTCTTTTTTAAAAAAATACTGTATCTTTTAAAAGAAACCCAAGCCACTATATGTGCTATTTTCCCTTCCAGCAAAGGACCAGTGGTTTTTTCTTTTTTAATTGAAACAAAATATAGCAAAGCCTGTCTGAAGAAAATATATCCATAGAATATCTTTAATGTGAATTCTTTGAGAGAGATGTGACTATCGAAATAATTGATTCTAGGAATCGCAGTCTTTCACAAGAAGGGGGGGCACACAAAAACAGACAGTGGCAAGTGGAGGAGGAATCCAGAAAACAGCCCTTGAACCAGCAAGGCGTTGTTGCAGGATAGTCAAATATATACAAGTTAATAAAGTTAAATACGTGCACTGTGGGATTTCCCCCCTTCTTCCTTTGGCATGGCGTATTTGGTCTCCTCTTCAGATTTAGTGTGTGTTTTTATTCCTCACGGGGAAGCGATCTGGTCGGCTCCTTCCTTTCTCACCACCGCCAGTCCTGCACACGAGTAAGCCCACATACTTGCATGCACAGGCAGAAACCGCTGCATGCAAACAAGGTTGCTGTTCCCAGGCTTGGACATCTTGGGTCAGGATGCTGTAGGGCCACACAACCGAGTGGTGCTCCCTGTTTCTTTCAGCTCGTTCTCCGGTTTGCCAGCAACCATAAAGGGCCATGTCTGGAGCCATAAGGGGGAGAGAGAGGGAGAGGAACAGAAAAACCAGAATAAGAGGGAAAGGAGAGATGAGAGAGAGAGAGAGAGAGAGAGAGAGAGAGAGAGAGAGGGAGAGAGAGAGAGAGAGAGATCAGTGTGCTTTAAATGGTGTAGCACTTGGACGGCGATAAAGCAAAGCCAACTGTCAGAATTTCATAGACTACCCAGGTGTTCTTTCTAAACAATGAGAAGAAGTGGTTAGACTAGACAGTTTCAGCTACTGAGCGTAACCAGGTCTTTAAGATGGCTCCGCCGTATTGTCTGGAATCTCAGCGCAAACACAAAACACTTGGTCCATAAAAGCATCTCTCTCTCTCTTTGCGCGCGCGGGTGCGCGCTCTCCCCCTCTCTCCATAGTTCTCTGTAATCCTCTGGGTGACGGGTCACGCTTTATTTATCCTCGATAGCAAAATGTGCCACGTTCGATTAGAAATGATAATGTTTCCCTAAAGCATATTAATTGACACGGCTCACACAGGCAGATTGTGGTAGACAGATTTAAAACCTGTCCATTCTCTACTGGGTAACGTCAAGGCACGGCTGCTGCTTTGTTTTGAAAATGATAACAGCGCTATCTGGTTCTAAAAGCGTTTCAGAATTGGCCATTTCGTTTCTCTTCCACGATATACTTGGCTTTTGGTTTCCAAAAAGTTCCTTTGAGGTGAAAAGCCCTTCAGTTGAACGCAGTGGGTGTGTAAATTTTAAAATTGCAAAAGCCCATTATATCCGCTGCATTTCTTTCCCAAACATAAGGCGTTACAATTACTTGAGGTTGCTTTTTATTTTTTTTAAAATATGCAAATACTTATAATTTAAAAATCTGCCCAGCTTTTTATGCTTGTTACAGCAATCGCTGCACTACCATCTTATGGTTTAGAATAATATTAAACAATAATGCAATGACAATGACCAAATTAACATAGTCCGGACATATTATATAACAAAAATCTTATCTTCAATCAGAACGTATTTTGGAAAAAATTTTTTGTGCTTCGTTGCTTACTGATTAATGGGGCATCTTTTTGCTAAAATAATTATACTCATATAAGTATGGACACCAATATTATGTTAATTTTTTGTCAATAACGAATACATTTTAATTCAAAATGATTCTGTTAATATTAACATATTTAATTGCTGTTGTTGTTTTTTTAATCGTTTTTGCTTATATGAAAAATGACTACCTTTTTTTAATATTCCAGAACGAGAATTTTTATAGAAAAAAGAGAAAGGAATGCAATTTTTCCATGGTTCATTTAATATAAAATGTCTTGGACGTTTAAAATCTGGGGGATGGAGTTTGTTCCACTGAGCTGTAAAATGTGTTTTAAAAATATAAGTCATTTTAGTCGCTGCAGCAAGCTATTGCGTTTGTTACCCTGTCCCTGCCTACCTGGGACTAAACCCCATGGAACTATATGGGATTTACATTTGAGTAACCACTAGACAGGTATTGGATTGCGCTGTAAGAGATGCTAAATATTTCAATTCCTGGGGACATAACTGGCTGCCCACCCACCCGTGGAATATATTTTTAAATATATTTTTATGCCTTATGGTTGCTCCACTTAGAATCTCCCCCTGTCCTCTTAGTTATCTGGAGGTGGGATGCAGACGGTTCCCAAACATTCAAAGCCACCCTAATCCTACTCCCCCTCCCCTTACTGGACCCAGTGGTCAGAAATGTGAAGGTGTGTCATCGACCGCGACCCCCGGACAACTGGAACTGACAGACTCCTGACGACAGAACATGAAAATAATGGGGCAGCTGCACGCTGACCTTTAAAATTCGTTTGTTGTTGTTTCATCTTGAACTTCCAATAATAAAAGTTACGACGTAGGGTTGGAAATAGACACGGGAGGTCGCGCATTCCGACGTTCGACGCCCTTCAGTGAATTAATCGGGCGTCTCTCGCAGTTCAGTTAGTGTCCTCGGCGAGAGAAGCGCATCTCGCCGTTTGAATAAAACGAAGCGGGTGGCCCAAGTGCCTAACCTAATTCTGTGGCGCCCACCCAAGCCCCCAACTTCAACCCTGGAGGTGAGAAAGGACTGGCTCTGAAAGAGCCTCGCTGTGTCTGAAGCAGGCTGCCACCCGGGGTCTAGTCACCAAAGGCGACTGGAGAGGACTTAATGCGAAGTAGCATCCCTCTCCCCTCCCTGCAATTACCCCGGGGTGATCCAGCTCGGCTGGAATAAAGAGGAAGGGAGGAAATTCCCAGCCCAACCGTTCCAGGCCGTATTCCACGAATTTTTTAAGCAGCAACACCAAGGGTGGTTGGGGTTCCTTGTCTTTTTAGTTATTTATTTTGTGTTCTCTTTTTGTATTTTTCCTGTTGTGAACAGGAAATTCTGGGATTTTCAGATGAAGGGCGGCATACAAATTTAATAAATGACAACAGCAACAAAAACTTAGGTACAGAGAACTGAGCTCAGGGAATGACAGCTCCTCCGAATAAATAAAGCAGCAGAGCAGCCAAGCGAGGTTTGCTAGGCGGGGTGTTATTCTCAGAACCCCTCGAGAGCAAAGCGCGTCGAGGGATCTTTGGGGCGCCCCACAGCTCCTGCCCGGTTTGCGTCAAGTGGGGCGGGGGCTGCTCTCGCGTTTCCTCCCACGGAATCGGGGTCGCCTTTAGGTCAAACACGTCCGTGGTGGTGGTGATGGTGTGTGCTTTGAAAAAAGAGGCTTTCGTGCCGTCGGGGCAACACTGGGGGGGGGGGGGGAGAGCAGAAGATAAGAGCCTCCACTCAGCGGAATGACCGGGGCTGATGGACCACGTTTCCAAGCAAGGACGATAACGTACCGTTGTTACTTAAAAAGCGACAGACGGGGAGGGCCGGGGATGGTAAAGTTTCTGCGTCTAAAAAGAAACCCCAGCTACCCGGAGCTGCCTGTAAGCCTGCAGCAACCGACGTGACCCCCCCCTCCCTCCCAAGCGGAGGTGGTGGGAAAGGGGAGGAGGGCAGAGCTGGAGGTATGGGCTGCTTTGCACGAAGGGGCCTGTCAGGACTCCCGGCTGGTCCCGGGCGCTGCCTCCCTGCCTCCCCTCCAGTCCGCTTACCAGGTTGACGGGGTGGATGTAGCCGTTCTCGTACTTGTCGCTGGCCAGGATCTGCCGGAGGTGCGCGATGTAGCTGGAGGCCAGGCGCAGCGTGTCCAGCTTGGAGAGCTTGGTGTCGGGCGGCACCCAGGGCAAGGTGGTCTTGAGGCGGGAGAAGGCTTTGCTCAGCACCCGCATGCGGGCGCGCTCGCGGGCGTTGGCCGCGTTCCGCTGGACCTGCTTGCCCTCGGGGCCCAGCACGCCCACGCCGCCCAGCGGGCTCTTCTTGCCCGGCGCCTTCTTCCGCTTGCCCGACGAGGGGGCGCCGCCTCGGCCCTTGGCAGGGGAGACCCGGTCGCCGCCGCCTCCCCCGGAGCCCTCGTCGTTGCTCTCGTGGCAGCGGTGGGGAGCCGGAGGCGCCGGCCGCGGCGTCGGGGAGCAGCTGCCCATCTTCAGGCTGCCGTCGCATTCCAGCATCTCCCCCTCGGGAAGGTCTTCTGCATCGCTCAGGGAGCCCGTGGACATGGTGGGGGCCGGCAGATGCCACCTGGGAGGACTGGGCAGCCGCAGGCGGGTGAGCCCGCCGCGCCTCGGATCCCCTCCTGGACCTCCCTCCCTCGCCCGCCTTCGGACGGTGAGAGGGAAGGCTGCGAGGAGTTCGACGAGGCGGACGCTGGAGTCATTTATCCTGGGGGGATGGATGGGGAGCCGGCCGGCCCAGGGGAGGGGCTTCCCCGGGGCTGGCCACGGCCCCTGCCTGCTCACGCCAGTCTCTCCCCACCCTCGTTCCTGGGTGAAGCAAGAGGGACTCCCGAAGCAGATCAGGGACAGCAGAACTTCTTAGCAGGGCTGCCACCTTCTTCACTTCCCTTGGATTTTGTCTCTCTCTCCTTTGTCACCCAGTCTAGCTCCTTGGATGTCTCCCTAGAGGTGAGCCTTTCGAAGAACAGGCCTTGTTGCTTTCAGAACTGAATGGAGGTCTCCTATTTCAAATATCACGACTCTCCTTTTGCCAAATGGATCCAATGCCAAGCTTTCTCTCTCTCTTTCTACCAGCACACTGAGAGAAACTGTGATATTTTGCTCTTGAGCATTCAAACAGTTTTCTGTCATTACAGCGACCCCTGGACCCATGGAGCAAGGAAGCTTGTGAGGGAAGCAGAGAGAGGAACTTGTCTCAGTGGAGCTGAAACTGATGATGTGGACCTTGCACATCATTTGCCCTGCTGATTATACCAGCTTCTTCTTCTTCCAGGCGTTCAGGCCAAAGATAGGCACAGCAGCACAACCCATTAAAGCACCAGCCGCTTGTCCTAAAGATGGTGTAGACTTAAATTCATGTCTGCCCTAGTTTCTGTTGGGCTACAACCTGTATTGGGTTGTAATAATAATAATAATAATAATAATAATAATAATCTCAGAAGTGCAGGGGTTATGGTGTCCTCCAGAGGTTGGTGAACTACAGTTCCCATCAGCTCCAGCCAGCATGGCCAAGGATAGAGAATGATGGAAGTTGTAGTCCTCACAATAGTGAATGATGCTGAAATGTTACAGTGGTATTCTAGCATTTTCAGGGTTTATTGTTATTTTTCAACTGACCCTGCCTACTCTCACCTCTGTCCGTGAAGTCAGTTCTAAAGTTAGTACACCTTACAAAAGGGTGCAACTCATTTACTTCTGAATAGTTCCATCATGGGAACTGTTTGCGTGTGTTGGATATCATGGCTATTGTCTGAAGGAAAATTGTGGCTTCAGTCTGAGACTCCATACCTGGGATTTTGGGTCAACACGCAGAGGGTCAGTCTTGTGTGTCTGGTTATTGGAGGGTGCCACTTTTTTTGTTCACAAGTAAATTTGCAGGGAAGAGGAGTTTGAAACCCAGAAGCTGGCTAGAGTTGTGATTAAGACCTACAGTTTGGAGCCAAGGGATCTGGATATTGTTCAGCTCCGCTATGGACTTCCTGCACGACCTTTGGCAAGTCAGTTTAACCTCTCAGGGTTTGAGTTTCCCCATCTGTGAAATGGGAATGATAGATACTAGAGTTTCACTTATTCACAGCTGTGGTGTGAGATGTAATTCATCAATGTTTTGCTGGAAATCTAGAGCTCTTCCCCTGTGTACTGCTGACGTAAATGTAGAATGAAGTGTTTTAAAAATATTTTCTTTGATGCTACATTTTTTAAACACACAAAGAAACCTTTCCTCTCCTATCCTAAAATAAAAAGTAAAATAAAAGCCTAAACAGATGATTACCTACGGTACATTTAAAAGATTGCATAACCAGTTGCCTTTAAACCAAAATGTCATGTCAAGTAACGACTTCCTTCTTCCAATATCTATATACTGGATTTATGGTTATATTTATCTGGCTCTTTTATATGCATGGAAAAGATGTGTATAAGATCCACTTCCTGGGGGATGGCATTTGAATAAACAAATAGGGCTCAATCCAGTTCACTGTGAGTGCAGCATGCACTCACACACACAAAGGGATCCTCACAGGACAGGAATGTGGAATCTGTGGCCTTGCAGATGTTGCTGGGTTACAGCTCCCATCATTCCTGACCACTGACCATCCTGGCTGGGGCTGATGGGACAGAAGTATAGTGTCCTGATCAAGGGAGGTAATAGTTCCACTCTATTCTGCCTTGGTCAGACCACACCTGGTGTTGTGTCTCCAGTTCTGGGCAACACAATTTAAGAAGGATGTTGACAAGCTGGAATGTGTGCAGAGAAGATGATCAAGGGTCTGGAAACCAAGCTTAATGAGGAATGGTTGAGGGGGTTTGGTATGTCTAACCTGATAAAGAGGAGACTGAGAGGAGATATGAGAGACATCTTCAAATGTGGTGGTAACATAAGATGGAACAAGCTTGTTTTCTCCTGCTCCAGAGGTTAGGATCTGAACCAATGGCATCAAGTTACAAAGGGAGATTCCGGCTTAACATCAGGAAGAACTTTCTGATTGTGAGAACTGTTTGGCAGTGGATCAGACTCTCTTGGGAGGCTGTGAACTCTCCTTCACTGGAAGTTTTTAAGCTGAGGTTGGTTGGCCATCTGTCATGTATGATCTAGTTGAGGAGGCTGGATCTGCTGCCCCTGTGCATCCTGCTGCCTGAGGCAGCCACCTCACCCTGCCACCCCTACCTTAGCACATCATCTTAGTCCTGTCTATTCCCTTCTCATGGCACCAGTGATAAAAGGCCATTGTGCAGAACAGGAGGCCACATTTTTAGGTTTATTTTGGCAGGGTACACCTAAAAGAATCTTGTGTACCAGCCACATCCCCCTTTCTATTTTGGCCTGCATCTGTGTCCTGTATCTGCAGAAGCTGAAGTTCTTGGATGTTATTTGGCCCTCAGCTTATGCTTTTCTGGTCACAAGATTGGATCCAGGGACTGAACCTTATCACATGCTGTATTTGAATCTTGCCAACTGTAAGATGTGGAACTGGATTCAGAGAATTAATCCCCCCCCCCAAGAAAGACGTGATAATGATTAAGTGATAATAGGGAGACCCAGTTCCATGGAGAGCTCAGCATTTAAAAGTCTGCTAAAGGTTGTTGCATGATATTGATCCTCCTTCTTAATAATGAGCAACAAAACTATCTTACCTCTTTATCTGCATGTGCATCATTCAGCCATGGAAAACACCAAAGAGCAAAGAGTGAAATTGAACCCCTTGCCATTTCAGTGCAAGCTAACACGCTCCATGCACTGGCTAACACCCTCCACACTCCCCTTAGGCTCCAACCCTAGGCAGGCTTACCTGAGAGTAAGTCCCATTAAACTTAATGAGTCTTTCTTCTGAGTCAACACATATACAAGTGTTAGCTTCATGTGATGCAGTCTGTTTGTGTTTTCACTGTACTTTTAACTAAACAGACTGTCAGCATTTCGGGCTTAATTAATTATTAGGAATTGTTACTTTAGACCATCCCTTCTTCTAGCCGCCCCCCTTTAAATTACTAATCATCAGGTCTGAGATTTATGGTCTTTCTTATTTTACGTGCCTGATTGTTGTTTGTGCAGGTGGACCTCTAAATGGCCGTTTTCCTCAGCCAAGATTTATGATCCAAGTGATTGATACCAGAAACTTGTACGAGGAGCCTCCCTCAGTTTGAGGATGACCAAAATATCAGGTAGACAGTCGCTCATGTCATTGAACATGAGCAGGCTGAAGTGATGGCACACAAAATGAAAGTTTCTTACCCAGAACTCTAGTGGACAGTGCAGGGTTAAGAGACAATGGAGTTCCTGGATACTTTCATGCATGGCTGTTGAAGCTGAGATAAAGGCTTGCAAGAGTCTGGATTTGAAGTAAAAGTTAACAACAGAGGTTTCTACCACTGGGGGCCCATGCCTTAAATCCTTTTAAGTACCAGTAGCATGTAATGGAGGAGGATGTAGCATTGAACATTCAAGAGCAGGAAATATGGAATGTCTTGAGCTGTATCAAAACATGAATTTAGCATTATTTCACAACAACCCAGATTCATTACTGGTCAATATTCTGAAAGAGTCTGCCTGGGCAAATTGCTAATATTCAGTTTATGCATCTTGAATGACATTTTAAAATAAAATAATAATACAGTGTTTTTTTAACTCTATGGTTGCTAGGGTGTGTGTGTGTGTGTGGTTAAAGAAGGTACAGATGTACATAGGCTTTAAAATGTCCAGTTCAATGTGCACATGACTTGAATCCAAATGTGGTAGAAGTGCCACTGATATAAGCTAATGTTTTAAAATTGCAGTGAGAATGCCCGCATTTTGCCAAGCAGCCATGGATTCAGTGAGTTGGCAGGTCCAGTTCAGAACTGTATTTATTAGTGATTCCATAGCCTGACCTTTGCACACTACTGCAATCTTGCTAATGTCACATCTGAAATTGATTACAATATTACATACCATATAATACATCTGGTTTTACAGTTGGGCCACAACTAGGTTTCTCCACAACAAAGAATATGGCCTTATATCATGTGAAAGAATAGCCACACTGAGCTGTAGGCAATCTTAAAAATGCCTGGTACAGATAAAAGGTTTGACATGCTTTCCACACAGAGTCACAGTGATGTGATCAGAGCACAGCAGAGGCTGCGAGTTTCTTAAGCGTAATGCTGGATCTGGCCTTAGTGACGAGAAATGCATCAGTATAGCTTCGTCGGTAGAGCATGAGACTCTTAATCTCAGGGTCATGGGTTTGAACCCCATGTTGGGCAAAAGATGCCTGCCTTGCAGGGGGTTAATTGGCCCTTGTGGTCCCTTCCAACTCCACAATTCTATGAAATATTTATAAAATGTTTTACCATACTAAATGTTGCAATTCCTTCTTCCAAATATTCAGAAAAGCCTTAGAGTGTGTTTGGGGCAGGGGGGCGACTCCAGTGTTTCACGACGACTTATAACCCAAAGATTAAAAGTGTTTTGATTCTGAATCTCTCTTTACATGCTGTTTCTACGTTGGCTAATCCTTTACATTTTTGTGGTTTACAAGCATGATGAAACCCGTTGATAAGAAATCATTTGTTGGGTTTCCTTCCCAGCA